TTTTGTAAGATTTGATTGGCTTTTCCTTCCACAGATTGGCAGATACTTGATCGTCGAAGAGATCTTTTTTATCACTAAATAGATTGTCAGAACCGTTGAACACATCTTCATCTTTCTCGGACGCAAACAGATCATCTGAGAAAAGTTAACAGTCAATTAATTTCGAGAATATTTTGTTTACAATTTATATTTTTGTAACGAAGGTATTAACTGCATACCTTTAAATCGATTAATCGATGATTCACTGATTTCATCTACTGAGACAGGCTTTTGCGCTTGGCGAACGGTGCCTAATCGTTTGGCTAATTCCTCTGCAAAATTTGGTGCCGTTTCATTTGACTGCAAGCAAGAAAAAAGGAGAATTGTTTCATCTTTAAAATATAAAAATCATTAAATCTCGACACCAAGGTCCCTATTCTGTATTCTTAACTCCTTCAGACTCAACGTACATTGTAATGTACATCAAATTTGAAGACATTATCCGTTGAAATTATTTAATTCTGTCGACATCATCTAAGATCTGATGTACATAATAATGTATATGTTAGAAAAATAGTTAAAATTTTGAAAAAAAATTAATTGCTTAGTATAAATTATTTATTTAAATACGCATGAACTGAATTAAAAAAAATGTTTTTAACATAGTTCCAACAAAATCAGATCTGAAGGGATTAACAGTGTCAGTGTCATTACATTGGCATATACAATGGCTATTGTTAAAAGTTACACAACAGGAACTCGACTATCAAATAATAAAAGAGATTTATAAGGTTGGTTATACCTTCGATACATTATTAGGTGTGGCAGACTCTGAAGCGGAATTTATATTATTCTGAGATGCAATATCCGTTTTATTATTCTCGTAAGATATGTTATTGCTGTGATCATTGTAATTATCTGAATCACTGGAGGACGACGATAACCTCGCTATATTTATCTCTGGATTGTGTCGACTGTTAAACACTTTCCGCACATCGGTATCCTCCTTTTCACTTTCTGATTCATCCCTCTCTTCGTCGGCTTGTTCAGATTCGCTACTACTACTCTCTAAACCTATCTTATTCGATGCTATCCATTTATCGGAACCGATAACATACGGCAAGGGCCGATCTTGATATGGATCATTGGGTCCCACAATAACACTGTAAACCAACCGAATTTTAGCACAAAGCAAATATTATGAATAAGAATAAAGATACTAACCTGAATACTACCGCACCTCCTTCATCTTCTTCTTCGCTATCGCTGCAAGCTACATCCATTACTTTGTACTTTTCATCCATTATGCTTAAACCTTGCTTAACGCTCTCGCTTATGCTGGCCAAGAGATTCTCCGGCGTAGACTCCTGAGTTTTCGCATTCTGATAAAAGAATACAAAAATTCATTTTACTCAAATATGAAAAGGAGCATAGATTTCCCAAAAATATTTATTCAAAATAGAAATATTATATTGAATAATATATTGAAATATAAATATTAATTCTCGCTTACTTCCTGCTTCTCATCCAAATTCTCCTTAATCTCTATGTCATCCTCCTGCACTCGGCTCTCGATAAACTGAGTATTGGCCAAAGCCAGAGACGTATTAGTAACATTATCCACTAGTATCCCCGTTTCTTTTAATTGCGTCGTCAACGTGTCCAGAGCAGCTTGAGTCTTGTTGGCCTTAGACACCAGATTCTAAAATTTTATACAAAATTAATGCAAGGCACTGTTGAATATAAACGCCAGCAAGGCAAAGTAATAAATTATACTTCAGAAAATTGCTGAAGATGTTTAAGAAGTCCAACGTCACCCGCCAGACTCCACTCCCTTCTCTTCTTTCTCATCTCTTCGGTGGTCCATGGATGATCCCATGATTTATCTATACCATCTGACACGTCCTGCCATGTAAAATAAAATAATTGATTTAAAAATAATACTGTTTACTGTTGCAATTATTTTAAACATTAATATACACCTTTTTATACATATATTTATATTTATACATATTATATGTCGTATAAAATTACTATAAGATTCTTCTGTAATATTAAACTTTTAGAACTTTTGTTTTATATGATAAAATGAATTCATACATCAATTTATAGATTAATATATATACATGTGTTATGAAATCAGTCACTCACAATATAGTGGATCAGTACATATTAAAAAGACTGCTTTATATAAAGTATTTAAATGCAGTGGCATAATATACATGCTCTCTAATTTCTTTGAGGGAAGTGAGATGAAACTTCAAAGAAGGATAATTCAGTCAGTCTTGAAAAAAAGTGGTTTAATTCACTCTTCAGAGTGAGATTCACTCTAAAAATTTTAGAGAGTGTATATATTCTAATAAATAATATAGGTATGTATATATATCATTATTGAATATTTAATCGTTTAAAATATTTATTATACATTTACATTCAACTCTGCTAATTTTACATGCAGTAGCTTTTAGTAATAATCTAATATGTAATAAAGTGACGAATTCGCTATTAAACATATTGTCAACAAATACAGCTTCGAGGGATAAGCAGCAACGTTCGCTGATGTTAAATTCAAAGTTGCATTAGAAAAAAACTTTCAACAAGGAAAAAATTAATGAAAATCACAACTGTGCGATCGGACTGACCGCGACTATGCAACCTGAACGTAGCTTCGAAAGAAAGTCAATTTATTACGTCCCATTATTGACACTTGCTAACCTAAGTGCAAATGTCTCACTCACCATATCGAGCAACTCGTAACGATGGAGAACGATGAGAACTTTCTTCTCGCGATTACATTTAAACGGGTCGACGAATCGTAACCTGACTCCTTGTCGTAAAAATGTAACGAGGGGCAAGAGCGGAGAAAAAAATATGTAGCAAAATGCGCGCCGAGATGCACTCTGTATGCGAATTATCGGTGTAATGCAGTGTAATCTGTGTAATGCGAGCATGAGCCGAGCGAGCGCTCCAACTCGGTTTTTCGCAGGTGCACTTTCAGCACTCGAAAATGAAACAGTATACAATTGCATGTTGGAGAGAAAGAGATAAAACGAGAGGGAGACAGAAAAAGTACAGAAAGTTCAGCTATAAAGAACATTCTTCTGTCAAATCAACGCCAGGGACGACGATTATCTCGAATATCCCGAGTGCAAATATGGATGTAAACATAATGTCATTTGAGGAGAGAAAAGAAGGAAAAGCTAGAATATAAAAACGTCTAATGCCCAATTTCTTCACCTCTAGATAACTTTATCCAAGAGATATCTCCTAGAATACAATGGAGATATCTTCTAGATAAGGTTATCTGCAACTTATCTGGAAGTGAAGAAATTGGGCATAATACTAAAAGAACGCTTTTGAAAACACGAGCGGCAAGTAATATTTAAAAAATTATGTACACGTATAAATTTATATAATATATAATATATTTTAACACATAATATTTTTAATAACCTCAATATAAAAAATTATAAATACTTTTTTAAAAATTATAATACAAAATTATAACACATATTGTCTAATCATAATCTCATTTTTTCGCAGATTAATTGAATAATGATAAAATTACAAATTTTATTTATAATTACGCGGGAAAAAATGTTATATATATGGACATATATTTATATAATAATATATATATAATTATATACGAAATATGTTAATTTTAAATATAATTATAATTATATTTTCAACGCCGGCAGTGAATTTTGAAATACAATTTGTGTATAAAAAGAAGAAGGCCAACATTCATAATCGATTCTTATAATTATATATTTATAAGGCTCGGTTCCACCAATTTTAAGTAAGGCTTAAAACACTCTTTATTTCTGTCTCTTTCGGGTTTTAAACCGAGATAAAGAGAGTTTTAAGTCTTGCTTAAAGTCAAAGTAACGTTGGTGCAACCGGGCCTAAAACTATCTTAATTTAAATACAATCTTAATTGATGTCAAAATTTAATATTACCAAGCCGTATTAGCCTAAAAATTAAAACATGACTTAAGACAATCTTGTAATAAGAAATGACCAAAGAAGAGACAAGAGAAACGTAAATTATTCATTAAATCGCTACACACCTGCGGAGCGCATGTCATATGAGTCATGAGGAATTTTTTTTAGGAGACCAAAAGGGGGAGGAATTTTGTTCCGCGTTCCGGAACGTCAACGACGTAACAGGAACGAGCGGAAGCGGACCATCGCGAACGGAGCAGCCGCACGCACTCGCTATCGGATTGTTTGTCAATATCCTCTCCTCCTCCACCTCCACCTCCGACGTCGCTTATCCTCCCGCGTTTCAAGGTACGTGCCTCATCATTCGCTCAGAACAATCGTCGACGAGCATGCTCGTTATACTGGCATGACGACGGACGATCGACGGGATATTCGGTAGTGGAAAGCAGTGGAGAGATCATCGCCACCATCACCACCTCTGCCTCCTCCTCCTCTTGACTCGCCCTTCACGCGACGCGTGTGACGTCCCTCCCCCTCCTCCCCCTCCCCGCCCCGGCCGCCGCTGTCAGCCCCGTCGCAGCCGTCGCTGACGACGCCAGGACGCTGGAATGCGCGAACGCGGCGAATCAGTGGACACTCGCGGTAGGACACGCGTGTAACGGACGGTATTGACACGACACGACGCGCGCGCGAGCGCACGTGCGCGCACACGTATGCACGCGCGCGACGATGCATCGACGAGCTCCGTCCGCCTCGCCGTTGGCAGGATGCGCCGATCCGTGACCTCGTCGCCGACGGGACTCCGGGCTTGACGTGTGTAAACGGCTCCGGGACGTCGCGTCGTTGCTTCGAGCGAGAAACTCCAGAAGAAGTTCCGGGAGAAACTCCTGTGAACGCCTTCGTTGTAACGAACTGGACTCTGCGAGTACGACGTCCGTCTTGAAACAGAACGCAGGGAGTATCTCGCTTTGGTTGGTTAAACGAAACATACAAGGAGCATCGCTTGATAGGAGAGTGACGTTGAATCAAGTACACTTTTACTACACCGAAGGGGGGCAGGGGAATACTGGATTGAACGTGTGGCACTAGAAAGAATCTCCGGTGTCTATCAGTGTGAACGAATTCACTATCTGTGAACAGCAAGTGTAAATAATGTGAGTTAACTTCTGGAGTAGACGAGAGGTCAATTCTGTATTGATAAATAGAGGCAGTAGCGTGTTGGTTGTTTCAGTTGATACCTATTAAAAACTTTGCTCATGTGATGATTATAATTAATTTGGTATTAATTTGATATTTAGTTTTATCTTCCTTCTCATCACAAATTAAATAGATTGAAGAACAATTCATTCATTCATTGTTTTTTTCAAAGTACCTTGGTTTTATTGAATACCAATTTAAATAGATACAAAATGTATCAATAGACTCGTGATTCTGTAAATAATATTTTGCCAAGATTTTTGTTATACAGAAATATCTCTATTTCATAATATTTTTGAATGTATTTAAATTAACAAGACTGTTTCTCCGTTACAGATTCATTGGAAGAAAATGTGTAATGTCAGAGTGATACAATATAGAGACATAGGTGGTCAATACAGAGCGATCATTTATAATAGACTATTATGTATCTCGCTTAGTTGATGTACGGAACGTTGCCTTAGACATTTGTCTAGCGCTTTTATTGCATATCCTTAGTTACGCTCTATTGGAAAATATCCGGTGTTCACAAAACTGCTAAATTTAATGAGGCCGAAGGTGCCTCAAAAGAGGGGAAACTTTCTTTTGAGAAGGTACAGCGTTCTACGATTGACTTCAACAAACAATGAACCATTCGGGAAGCGGAAAACGTCAGGCGAAGGTTTTGGAAGAAAATTATTGGGACTGCAGTGTCTGCACTTATAGGAATACAGCGGAAGCATTTAAGTGCCTCATGTGTGACGTCCGCAAAGGAACCTCTACGCGGAAACCCCGCATAAACCCCCAATTGGTAGCTCAACAGGTCAGTCTAATTATCTTGCAATATATACCTGTGAACAATAATTCACTCCTTTATTCTAGTAAAGCAAGTTCTGAAGATACCTATCCTGTTCTACTAAAAGAATCATATATGTAAGAGTCATGTACATATATTTGTTTTATGATATTCTTGCTTAATATTTGATTCTTCTTGTTTAATATTTGATGACAAGAAGGATGAAATGATATTCACGAGTGTTGCGAACCTAAGAGGAATTGGCACCTTCAGTATACAGATTATTGTACTAAAACAGAGTAGGCACCTTCAGGACTAGTTTTACTATTATAGATCCGGGGAATGGCGAATTGTCCATAAGTTTATATTATTTACTGACTATATTATTGTGAGTACTGAAAATCTACAGTTTATGTATATTTTATATTATATTATAGATTTTTAGTACTCACAATAATGGAGAACACATTCCATATAACTTACGTATAGAGGAACAAGTTCTTTTTATTTTAAAATGCAACTATTCGTTTTCAAATTATTTTTCACGTTATTATTTCGATATTAGAGTTAACACATAATCAATATGATACTATACCATATCCAGGTTGCGCAGCAACAATATGTACCACTTCTGAAACCAGGTAAGAAAGAAGGAAGTGGCGGTGGTAGTACGACCAGCGGCGTCAAGGAAAAGGAACGCAAACTGGATAAGCTGAGGCGCAAAAACAGGCATCCGCCGCGTCTGAAAAATATTGACCGTAGCACCGCGCAATCAAACGAGGTAACGGTCAATAATGTTACCGTCACTATCACGGAGTACAAGCCCAAGGTGAAAAAGGGCTCGGATCAATCGAGCAATGCGAGCTCCGAGGGCGGGAGCCAGCACGATTCGAATCAGGACTCAAGAAGTCTCGATGTAGGAACCGACGCCTAGTTTAATGCTAATGTTACATATGTGTGTATGAATTATTCTAATTAATATATTGTATGTATATGTCAACCTTTATGGTCAACTGTACATCCTCTAGACAAAAGCGACCATTGTTGACAGTCGCTTTTCTCTCGTGCGTCTATTTGTATGACGCAAGTTGTATGACGAATCTAACGAAGTCAGGCATTTTGTGCAGGGTTGGTAAAAAACATGTTTTAAATGTGTTTTAAACAGTTTAAAACATCCTTAATTGAGGTTTTTAATATGTTTTAAATGTTTTTTTTTTACAGTACTGCTTAAAGTATATTTGAAGCATTAAAAACATAGAAAAACACAATGTTTTATTCTAAAAAAAAAAATATTAGTTTTTACCAACCCTGATTTTGTGCCGTCAGCAGAGATATTATTGACTGAGCATGATTCGTATATCATTCAAGGGAAGAAGAATAGGAATATATGTACATTGTATATCACTGTTTTATTCATTGCACAAAATGTTGAATAATTTGAATCGCTTCTCTACGCATTTTGTGCGAAAAAAAATGTACTTAAAAGACCGCTTACATTACAGACGTCATTTTTTTATTCTGTAATATTTATTAAATTTGTTTGAAATGTCTATCGGCGTGACATATTCCGCGCTAGATTTAAATATAAAAAAAATAGAAGGAAGGAAATTGTAAATATCAGTGAAACGGAATTTTATGAAATATCGTTAATATAATTATATCCTCGATTTTTATTAAATTTACGAGACCACTGCCAGAAAGCGCGTCGTAAATCGTAATGCGGTTCGGAATTTGTTAACAAGACTAATCGGTATGACTGGCACTGGTACATATGTACATCTTATTCCATTCTAGTTCGTCATTGAATTGAGATGAATTTTCTTGAAATACAAAATACTTAAATATAATGAAAGTTATATTTTACTGATCTCCATGATTCGCTAATTTAATTCTGCACTTTTATTAAAGCACAGTTAAATTCATCAATTCATAATTAGGTCGAAAAACATTTAATCACAATTGTATGTACAGATCGAACATGAACTTTCAAATATGTAATATACATGTACTTCGCGTATTGAATATTCATACAACGCTCTCTGATAAAAAAAGGAAGATAAAATTTCATTTTTAGCAAATAAACGAGTTCAGATTATAGAACAAAATGACGTAACACTTTGTTTCAAAACGCAAATGCACACGAAAAAAATCGTTGATCTTCATTAGTTTTACCATATTTGTAACTGCCCAACAAAATTTCATAACAGCGAACACTTATTGTATTTGTTCAAAATTAAATCGTAGCTGCAAGGACCACAACAGTTCCTTAAGTAAACGGGTAAAATGGAAAAGAAAGGATTTCTAACACAGCAACATTGTTAATATTATGCCCAATAATTATATTACACTATCGAGATAATTGTAATACAATTCTGCATTAAAAATGTTGTATGAAAGTAAATATAAGAATCTATCAGTATATATAATCAGAGTAATTAAGAGAATTAATAGATAAATCGAGGATTGTATACTCGAGGAACGAATAATATCGCCAAATATTTGGTAATATTAACTTGTAAAAATAATCCTCACGACTGCCCCTCCCCCTCAGACTTGCTTTTTCGATAGCACCGATATCTTGAATTCTTAATCAAACGAATCGTTACATAAGACCGTGTAGCTTTTACAAATAGATTTTTAATCGACAGGTAATTAAATCACCATTTTTGCAGAATAGTCGCACGCAAATGATATTTTTACAACTTTGTGGAACCGTATAAGTTATACAAATCCTTTCTATCATATATGTCCTTTTGTCTTACATGTGTAACCTGCTTATTTTTACATGGCATAAATCTATCTGCATTTTAATAGAATACAAAGATTCCGAATGGACAGCGTGTTTTCGAATCTGTACTAAATTTTTGAATTTTTTTTAATTAACATTTCTAAGTGCAATATGTAATCTCTTATTCACTCGAGAGATTAATTAATTACTGTTGGCTATTACAGCATAGCACTGCGAATCAGGGGAACCTGTTTTTAAAAGCATTTTTTTTTAATGAAATGATGTCTTCAAAACATTACATTGATTGTTCGTATCATATAATGTGAAAATTCGGTAAATACTTTAATAAAATACCGTACTGTTATTTTCAATAAAAAAAATTACATGGTGTAAGATTCTTGAAAAATAAATGGGGTTAAAATTAAGCTGTTAACAGGGAAACAATAAATCATGTTTTAAGAAACAAAAACAAAAGGAGTTTTAATAAGCCTACCAAATATGTACATAGATACATTTATTCTCTTATCGAACAGTTTTTATGTTAATACTACAGATTAATTATCTGTATAAAAAAGAAACGCGTAACAAAAATCGTTTATTTACAATTTCTATGAAACTTTATTCGTTTAAATGTTTTAAAATATAATTAAGATTTTATAATCAATTTTGATACTAATATGTATCCTTTTCTTTTTTTATCTCTTTTTTTATTTCTTTTATGCTTGACGATTCCTGATTTTCAATTTCCATATTTTCCATATCTTCGGTGACGTCCATCGTCTCTTCTTGCCGAGATTCTGCCAAAGTTTTCGATACAACGCGTTTCACAAATCTCTCTCGCACTATTAATCAAAGTAAAAAAGTTAACACAATAACACTTAATCTATACTAAAAATTACTTATACATACCCGTAGGTATCTCCATAATATTCAACACTTTAAAATTGTGCTCCTTATTATCTCCGCCAACAGTGAATATAAATCCATTATCTGGATTCGCTGCGAGGCATTGTATAGCGCCCAAATTACTCGTCTGTTCCCATATAAGAGTAGGAGATTCTTGGTCTATATCCCATATTTTTATTACACCATCGTTCGAACAAGAGACTAATAGATCTCGGCATGAGGTACTAAGAGAAAGACCTGGAAAAAAAATAAAATTTATAAACTATAATATAAAACAAGTCAAACAAGAGATTTATTTACCTGTGACTTCTTTTTCATGAGCCTTAAATTGCCACAATGGTTTGCGTTTTCGTACATCAAAGTATTCTATATAACCATTATTTGTGCTAACCTGCAAAGAAATTCAATTACAAATATAACAAAAAAAAATTTAATTTCAGATGCATGTAAGACGTACAATACAATAATTTGGGTCATGATGATTCCATAAGACCCTTTCCACTTCTCCCAATGCCTCCCATTCTATAACAGGTACTTCGTTCATACAATCGTACAGTCTTACTAGTCTGAAAAAATATTAAAGTAGATATCTATGTAATAGAAATACTCATAAATAGGATAATCTACATACCCATCGGCGCATCCTATTAATAGCTGATGAGTTTCTTGTGGGTGCCATTTTAGTGTTTGCACTTTTTCGTTGAACGGACCTAGTTTGTTGACAGGTTTACCATTTTCCAAGTCCCATAATAAGACTGTCTGATCGGCCGAACCGCTAGCAAGAACGTGTCTGTAAAATATCCCTAGTAATAACAAAATTAGCTATTATATTGATTATTTTTTTTGTGAAATTGATAACTGACGTATAATTATGATTCCACGACACGTCTAGAACTGCATCTCTGTGACCAATGCGTTTTTGTTTCTTCATTTTATTTGGTTTACGACCTAATTTGTAGGCTGGTTCTAAGCAGTCTATCAAGTCCAAGTCCCATACTTCAATTATGGGAGTCATACTACCAATAGCACATAGATTGCCTAAAAGCATAAACAGAAAACTTTAATTACATCTTTTATTACATAAATAATAAATTTAAACCAATAAATCAATCAATTGGGCTCTTGAGATAATTAATTAAAATACATAAAACTAAATAACGGGCAATTGAGAGCCTAAAAAAACGCAGTAATTCGTGCGGTACTTATATACATATAATTGAAAAATTATCTATTACATGAAATAGATAATTTAAACATGTAATAGATAATTTTTCAATTATATAAATACCGCACAAATTACTGCGTTTTTTTTTTTAGGCTCTTAATTGCCCGTTATTTAGTTTTATGTATTTTAAATAATAAATTTATATTTCCTGTAAGAATTTCTAATGTAATTAAAGTATTACTCACTTGGTTTTGGAGTGGTAGGATCATAGTTAAGCCACTCTATGCACAATGGAAACGAAGGTAGTAATATATCATGATGACAATAAAAGGATCCTTCTGTTTCGTTATATACTACAATTATACATATAAAAAGATTGTCAGAAATCAAAGATCTATATATATAATTAATAACTTACATAATAAGTAAAATTATTTAGCACCAAGGATAAACTTTAAATATTTAATCTAACTAAATATGCTGTACAAACCAAATACTTCCAAGATGCTAGCATCTCCCTCAACATGCCCAAACAAAACTAAATTATCATCAGCTTTGATAATATCATCCTCCTTATCTGAATCTTCTTCATCGTTTGTTATAAGAGGATCTTTGCCACTTGCATCAAAAGTGGCTAAATTACTAATGTGGCAATACATATTGCCGGCTAAAACAAGACAAAAAAAATAAAAAATCAAATATATTTTTATTATGTTCTGAATATTTAACAATTTTTCCCTTACATTCATTATCATAGGCTTTAAAGTTATATTCATCAATGCCAGCAGTCGAAGATTCTCCTTTCTTCTCTGTATTAGATCGTGTTTTGGATCCCTCTTCATCAGAATCATCATTACTGTCATTGCTATAAAAAAAATCTTACAATTAATTTTTTAATATTTATTGTATGTCCTATTCTTGTGAGAAAACCATAGATGCACAATTAAGAGTTGTAGTTTCAACACTCTCTAAAGTCTCTAATAATCATCAAAGTTATCAGAATATATTTTTTAGCAAGAGATAATCTGAAGTTGATTACAAACGCAAGATTCAAATTTAAGAATTGAATTCTTGATGGAGAAGATAGAATATCAAAGATGTTATGAAAGAAGATGAGACAAAGTTATGAATTCTAAAAAGCAAATTGTGCACTATTTTAATGGAAATAACTTGCATTATTTTACGTACTTCAAAGTGGCTTGCGTTTCTTTTATAATCTTCTCGAGCTCGTCGGGCCTTAATTCAACCTACAAATCGCAGAAAATATATGTTTTTGACAAATAACATAACCTATACATAACATTAAAATGCCAACTTTTTCCGGAACAGCCGCAGCGACGCCTTTTTTCACCCATGTAGTACAAGATATAACATTTGCTTCCATCTTTATTAGAAATGTGTCAAGTTCCCGATATTGTTCGACAGTAAAATAAAATTTTTATAAAGTTTTTGCAACCATAGGATTGTCGAGGTTAAGTTTTCAGCCTACACGTTTTTTTTAGCAGTAGTGCCAACCTCGATCACTGTAAACATATATTCTCTATATTTTCTACTTTTTAAAAATAAAGAGTTGTTTCAAAGGCTACGTTCGGAAACGTCGCTCGGATGCCTCCGATGCCTCGGATTCATTATCTGTCCTTGTTTAACATTTAATGTTAAATAAGGACAGATGATGAATCCAAGGCATCGGAAGTATCCGAGCGACGTTCTCGAACGCAGCTATTATATATATGCAACGTCTGTTCTAGAAATATATAATATATAGTACATCACTATTAGAAATTCAAATCTAAGAATCAAAACTAAAC